TTATATTATATAAATATATAATATTTATTTTAGTATATTACTAATATAGTATATTAGTGTATTACTATTATTAATTTATTATATATTATAATTTATAAAATTTAATTTTTTTAAATATCATAAGTTTATTTATATATAATTATTTTAAATTATTTTATATTTCGAACAATAACGATTCGAACACGAACGAACGCATCACTGTTCGTGTTTGGTTCGTTTAACTAACTGAATGAAAAAAGTTTGTTCATGCTCGTCTCATTTACTCATCGAACGAATCAAACACGAACTCATTGACGAACCGAACACGAACTGTTCACGAACAAAGAGTTTTTTTGACAGCCCTACCCACAAAGGGCAGGAGAAAGACGATTATATACTACAACCTGAAATTAAGACCAACTAAAAGGCCATATAAGACTGACATTAAATAATAAAATCAGTGAAGATAAATATAAGCAATAGTTAAAGAACAAGTTGGACATTAGTTGATTGAATGATGATTTAAATTTTATATCCAGCCATCTAAGTGACAGCACAATACTGAAAAGGCATAATTAACCAAGATGTACCTTATATCCAAAAAGCACGTCTTCATATGTTTCATATGGTCCAATAGTTACATCCAATTTTGAATCCTGAAAAAGAATAACAAGCAAAGGTAAAAAGTAAGAAACGTTTCTTCTGAGTTAGAAGCAAAAAAAGTAGGAATTATAGAAGAGAGAGATTGCTAACATATTCTCTACAAAGCATAGACACGGACACGGGGACACGGACACGGGGACATGGACACAACACAATACAAAACAACACAACAAAATTGCAAAAAGTATGACACGATACTACATTGACACATTTTTTTATAATTAATAAATTACTAATATAAATATATATTTTTAATATTTTCTACTGAAGACATCATAAAACAAAATATACAATCATTAAGAAAACTTTATAATGATAAATGTTGTTTTTTGCAATATCAAAATGACATTCAAAATATCAAAAAAATCACTGAAATACTTAAAGTTAATGCCATCCATAATAAAATAAAAATATAACAATATAATCATCACTAATTGGAGTTAATGCAATCAATAGTGATGTCATCATCAGTGCTAGCTTCCTTACCCTAATCAATAACGTCTTCACCATCGTCAATGAAAAACACCGTTTTCTATCATGGCTCATTAAGAGAAATATTAGCAAGAAAATGAGCGACGTTAAGCTAACAATTTGAAAACTAAACATTGCAATCGTGGGAAACTTGCTATATAAATCATCCACCATGCCATTTCATCAATAATATCTAGAAACTATGGAGCCATGATAAGTGAAAGCACTACTAAATTCAAAGAAATTAGCAAACTCCAAATTAATAATGTATCTTTTTTCAAGATTTGAAAAAATCATATTCAAGCATTTATTTCTCTCAATTAATATTTTCATACTTTATGTGGAGTTAAACGATTTGGAACTTCACTTAGCAAAGTGTAACTATAATACAAAATAAAAAAAACACCTATAAGTAACAAAACTAATCTAAATTTAAATTAATAGAAAATAAACATTAAATCAAATCAAAACTTGGATTAATAGAATGAGCTAAACAATGAATAGGAGTGTTTCTTTTATTCCATCTTTCTACTAAAATACCATAAACAACTTTATAAAAAGTAGAGTCTTCATTATCTCTGTTTCTTCCGTATCACTACATAATACATTTCACATTTTCCATCATAGAATTCTACAAAACAAAGTCAAGGTAAAGACATGGTTTATCTGTATCAACCAATCTCATCACATCATATACAATTTCCATAAAAGTAATAATATAATTAATTTATCCCACCACAAATCATTCATGATTTTTTTCTTGATAAATTTTGCCAAGTTTATTTCATCTTCAAGATACATTATGCATTTGTCACTAATCACCATTGTTTGTAACCCATATTTTATTTTTATGAATCTTCTAAGCATGACCATACTTGAAGCAAAATGAGTCTTTGCAAAAGCTAACACTTTTAGTTTTACAAGCTTAATGAACATTTACAATCTCATTGAATGATTAATAATGAAAGGTTTTATAATATTGACATCTTCTGTAATGTCATTTATTTAGCTACATTGCTCATAAGTGGTCTCATTTCTTTTTATATTTATTGGAGCACATGTATTTTTTAATACTAAGTTTAATGCATGAACAACAAAGAAGTTCAAAACATATGAGGATACTAAGCCTCAATCAAAGCTCTTGCAGCTTTGCACAAAAGTGCATAATCAGTTATTACTCGAACTACTTTAGATGAGCTTATGCCCATAATTACTTCTTTAGTTTAATTGACAATATAAAACTTATCTTTATACGCCCCTCCATGGTTAATAGCTTTTATAATTATTGATTTGGATTATGTGATGTCCATGAAATTAGTAAGAAGTCTTCTTTGTGCATCTATTCATACATCACAAACTATGGTAACTTATTTCTCATTCAGAATCTCCTTTATAGACTTAACCATTCTATCAGCATCTCTTTTTGAAGCAAGGTTGTTCTTAACAGATTATAACCCGAAAGAATATATCTAGTGATTTTGTTGTTGGCTGTAATGAGAACGGACTATAAATGAATTTCTTGCCAAATGAAATAAAGTAGCTACTGATAAAACATTCAAGTAATTTCCTCATATAAATAATCTCTATCTTGCAAATTAAATGCTCTTGCAATAAAACTAGTGTCTGACATTTTTTTTAACCATAATCATACGCCTCTGCTCTAAATAAATAATCACTTGACTAAGAGCTATACAACAGATTGGATCTACTTTTGTCTAGAACAGGGAAGTGAAATCTTCTTAAATACAATATTCTTCTTTCTCCGCTCCGCATTAGCATCTAACTTCTCCACTTGTTGAATTTATTTTGAAGTTATTTTAAGGTATACTCAAATACCAACTCCAAGTTGTCAAAACAGGTGGACTGTAACCTTAGAATATGTTCTCTCAAATTTTTCTTGGCAAAGCCGGCACTAAAATTCTTTAGTGTGTCATGCTTCAATTGATCCCATTGTTTCTAATTTGATTACACATGTTCATAAAGACTTTGTCTCGTCCACTTTGAGATTGCTATCAATCAAAATAGAGGCACTTAAAGAAATTATCCTATTAATTAAATATATGTGTGTGTGTGCGCGCGCGCATGTGTGAGTGTGTGTGTGTAGAGAAAGAGAGAGAGAGAGAGAGTGAACATGTTTGAAGAGAATGAATATTTGTGAAGAATCTCATGGACACATGTTATGTTGTGAATTTAGCTTAATGTTTGCAAGTAACTCGTGCTTAACTTCGTAATTACTCAAATTTAAGAAATTACAAGTTAAACTTTATAGTAAAGAAATTAACCCAACTTCCAGAATATATCTAAGATGATGATGGTATAATTAAAAACTAGAGAAGAAGAGCAGGAGCATTAGAAACTGAAAAGAACTTAAAACTATCCTATATTAAAAAAGTCTAGGTAAAACAAAATAATGATGGTATAATTAAAGGCACTAGCCTTGAAGCTTATATCTAAGATGAGGCTTAACACTAGAGTAAAGCCTTTAATCTAAATATAACGTAGTGAAAGCAAAACCTATAACCTAAAAGTTGAAACATTAAGTTCAAAAAAAAAAGCAAAAATTTTATTCTTATATTAATTTCTAGACAAAACTAAACCCACCTAAGTATTTTAGAAGTCATGATTTAGTTGTCTTAATGCAAATGTATGATATGTTAAATTATAATGAATTTAAAATTTAGTATTGCAACTTAGCCACTAAACATAGACAACTTGATTATATGGTTATTAATGCCGACTCACCCATGAAGTTTTTTAGTGATTTATCCTTATATAAGATGATAATTTCACCTAAATTTTATTTCTCTATATAACTTACAAGATAATTTCAGAAAAAAAATAATGTAAGGTAGAAATATATGCATGTTAAATGCAAACATGCATAAGTGAAAACCCTCAAATAAAAAATACACAAAAACAAGCTAAAAAAATGAAAAAACAAAACAACATAAATATCGTACGGCGGAGGAACTTCCTGGTTGCTAAACCCTAATGTTGGGAAGAAGGGCTTTGGATCGCGTGAATACTTTGGATCGCATCAAAGCTCTGGATCGTGTTGATGATGTTTTAGATTGCATCAAAGGCTCCTTGCTTCAATTAGGTATGCTCCACGACTCACTTGCTTCGATCAGTGACGCCCAATGACGGCTTGCTTGTCGCTAGCTTAAATCAGGGCTATTGAAAACAATGCCATGGGGACTCTTCGAGAACACCACAACCTTGACTTTGAGTTGCCGCTTCAGCTTCCGCTTTGATTTAGTTCAAATTTAAGATTCTTTGTCAATGCCGCGCTGTGTCGAGTGGTGTCTGAACCATGTTGGATTCAACGGAGAGTTCTGAGGCGATTAATAGTGTGGCGAACACGTATCGACCCGTGTCGGAGTTGTGACCGTGACCAACACGTGTCTGACACGAGCACGACACTTGTTTTGACGTGTCCGCGCTTCAAAGCATATTCTTAATGGCTATTATTTCACATTAAAAAAAAAAGATGCAACTCCATAATACAAGCACAAATACAAAAATGCCAACGATAAATAGATCAGGTATGATCAAAGAGCAATATACTAACCAATTCCATCCAAGCAACATCAGATTCATAATAGTCATTTGACAAGAAAGCATCTGCTTTTGTCTTAAGCAACTTCTTCAGGCTTGTGATATCAAAGAAAAAAGAATCATTGAAATTTAAACCAATACACAATATAAAAGCTGCTCGTACATATATTGTAGGAAGATGTACCACTCAATTCTTATGTATTTCAATATCTAACACCTAACTTTAACTTTTACTCTCATCCACATTAAGCATGCATGAAAATCTGTATTTCACTTTTTTTTTAAGTTAAAATGATGGTTTTTTTTTTATGTGATATGAATGATTTGGGCGGAACAAATGTAGAGAGTAACTTTTAGGTGTTAGACATGTACATACATCGGAATTGGGCAGTATATATGTATGCTTACCTTGAACTATCAGTTCTTTTCGCAGCACTATGAAGAAGTTCAGCAGCTTTCCCAAGGAATTCACTATACTCTAGAGAATATGGAACTACAAACAAACCATTTGAGTTAGACAGCTGGGTTGACTCTGAAAGCTTGTCTGCATCTGACTCCTTGATAGATAAATCCAAATCAGAATCTTCATGCCTCCTAATGACACTGAAGAATCCTGTAGCAGCCTTTTGTTCACTTTCTGTTAGGCCAATCATCCACTTCTCAAACTCCTAAAATGGCAGCAAAAATTATATCATTATGTAACTTGCTGAAGATTAAATCTAACTGCCTATAATGAATTCTAGCTTTAAAGCGCATTGTAATACTCGTACCAATCTGAATACAAGGGTGAATGACCAGATGAACAGTACTATTTTATAAGTGCGGCAAATCAGTCAATAAAGTTATATGGGCTCAGTTTTTTTTTTATTTACTTTTCATGATACGTACCATTTTGTCCATATCAGGCGGATAAAAATTTGCACCAGGCGGCTTTAACAAAGGAAATGCAACTTTATATTCAAGGCCTTTCCAACCAGCAGTAGTTCTCGTGGAATTCTCAAGCAATTTGATAGCTGAATCCGCAGTAGTTAAAAATGCCTTGTTTTCATCGATGCATGACCTGCAAGCAAGGGGGTGAACATAATTACCAAAAAAAAGTAAATTTAAACATGAAAACATAATATTATTTCTAATAGCAGTAACCCGTAACCCGTCAATACTTCCTTCTTAATTAGCAACAATATATAATCTGTAAACGCAATTAAATACGAAGGAAGGCTTCCAGGTCCACAGATATACAACAGCATCACATATTGGCAGGAGGATAGAATAGTTTTACATGAAAAGGATTTGTTTAAACCATCCACTCATTCAGATGATAAGGATAATAGAGTCACCAACTCCAAACTAATTATGGCATACTTCATTATATGCCTAGAGCATGATCAACATGCCTTCAAAAAAATCCTTCATATCCCAAGAATCAGCCTAGCGTACCAGGTTTAGAATCTTCAAAAGAACTAGTTAAAAACCTATCAAGCAAAGCAATTTTTAAACTGAATTGTGAAATTTCACTTAAACGTTGAAGCTCATAAAAAGTTACAGTCAAATAAAATGATCACCTTTAGAAATTTAGCAAACTGTAGTATAGGAACGTAGCATCCCAAATGCAGTGAATGTTATCCAAATTCAAGAATAAACTCAGACAAAATCAAGTTGATATAGGACTGGTATGGGCATATAATTATTGAAGAAACCTAGAATGAGATACACAAAAACATGCACATGCAATAAACGATAATTCACAAGTTCCCAACCATCCGCTGCAGCAAAAAAATCTATCTTTTTTAATATAGAGGCAGCAAGCATAGGCTCACCCATTTAAAAAAATAAATAAAGATATACCTTACATCCCCGCAGCCGTGCATCACATCGCTAGCACCTTGTAACCCTAAGAAGGATGAGAGGGTGTCATTCGGTCCTCTATTTATATATATATAAATATATATATATATATATATACCTGCTCCCTATGGTAACACAATTCCAATACTCTATTTTCTTTCCCTCAATCTCTCTTTCACGCACATTACACTCATTTTCCCCCATAACACTCCTACTCTAAACTCTGGACAAGCTTATAAACAAGCAATGAGGAGAGCTTGATAGAAAAAGCAATAGCAGATCTAATGTCTTGTGAAGAAGAGGAATTTGAAACTCGGGCGCACCAGAGAAGGCATCAACAGGGTCTGCATTGCGTGAAAAAGTGGGTATGTCGTGTAATAGCCCAAACTACCATCCATGGAGATATTGTCCGCTTTGGCCTAATGATCCTCGTGGTTTTGCCCTATTAGTATAACTTCCTGGAAGGTCACCCATCCCAAGAATGCTCCAATAACAGCACACTTAATTTTGGAGTTTCTGATGTAATTCCAATCATTACATCAAAAAGTGCCTCAATATTTAAGAGTTCAACTTCATTCTACTTAAGGAGTTTCTTCCCACTTATACAACTGGTATCCTCGCTAGTTTTCTTAACCTGCAATCATCTACCAGGTAGATAGGATTCTAAAGGTAATCCCTACATATTTAAGAGTTGACTCCCGCCATGGTGCACTTTATCCCGTATAGGGTTCAAGAATAGCTCCCATGATGTAGCACTTTGTTCCACATGAAAATTACAACCCATCTTCAAGCTGGTGTAATGCTCTGATACTATTTGTACCCAGTGGTGTAACTTCGAAGGAGATCACTCATCCCAAGAATGCTCCCATAAGAGCATACTTAACTTTATGGTTTCTGATGAAATTCTAATAATTACGCCAAAGGACACCTCATTTTTTAAGATATCAGCTTCATTCTACTCCAGGGGTTTCACAAGCCATTCTAGATGCTCTCTGAGAGAAGGTTTGGACAAAGTTTTTATTTATTTATTTTATTTAAGCCCAGACATAATATTCGAGAAATAGAATTGAAGATTCAGCATGGTTAAAGTTATTATTTTGATTGTTTGATATGATTTAGGCAAAATCCTATTTAAAGCCCTATTGAAACCCTGCTGCAAAACTGCTGCCCATCTCATTCACTTCCTCTCATTATAAATGTTCGACTCTTACTCCCTTCCCTTCTCTCTCTAAATCAAGATAACCAAAAAAAATTTAAAAAAAGAAAAATAATGAAAAAAAAAATTGAATGCCTCACTACTTCATTGTCATTTTAATACAAATATGCACAGACATAACACAAATAAAACCCCCGATGAAGTTTAAGTAACAATGTTTGTCGTTTCGACATGGTAGCAATTTTCATGAAAATCAATAACATGTCTTTGACGCAGGAGCAAAATTTGGGACGCGATATTGTAGCTGTCACAGTACCGCAGACTCATTACTGTAGCTGCTACAATAATAACGAGTCCCTCTTACCCGTTTTGATTCCCTGCCTTATCAACAACATTCCACTTCTATCCCAATTTCAAATTCTTTCCTTTCTCATCACCCTCTATTTATTCCCTTTTCTTCTACTTACCTAATCTACCTACTAGCCCCCTCATATTTATGCATGTTTGCTAAGGTTAGGAAAGATTTTGATGATTACGGATTTATGTGTACTGTCTTTGAGGCATTCTTCCCCTCCGGGGGTTGTAACCGATGATGAGAAGGTGCTCCAGCTGTAACTCTTCCGAGATGGGGACCATTTCTGTAGATCGACCCCAACGAGACATTCATCCTTCCACAGCCCCTCCGACCCCTATTCCAGCAATCGCACATCGCCCTCTAGTCTTCTTCCTGCTGCCCTTCAGGCCCTCTCTCCTCATTCTAGTAGCAGTCCTGCTGCCCTCAACCCCACCGCCACCTTCCTTGCTACGGTTCGATGTCTCAAAGCCGTTATCCTGTTGCCGCCAGCCCCACTGACAAATTTCTTACTGTTGTGTGGCACTTTCCGCAGCTATCCCTGCACCCTCCAACACTCCGCCAAGGCCCTCCCTGACCAGCCCCTATCGCCGACAGCCCCTCCCGAGCTTGCCCTACTGTTGTCCGACCACTGACGCCTATCACAGTTTTTGTCCAACACCTGATGCCTGTCCCGCTATTGTCCAACCACCGACGCCTGTCACAGCTGTTGCTTGCCCTACTGTTGTCCGACCACTGACGCCTGTCACAGTTTTTGTCCAACACCTGATGCCTGTCCCTGCTATTGTCCAACCACCGACGCCTGTCACAGCTGTTGTCCAACACCCGATGTCTGTCACCACTGCTATCTAGCCCAACTGTTTAGACCCCTCCACCGGTCTGCTGCTGCCCCAGGCCACCGCAGCTCCCTCCTGCCACTCTCCAACAATTGTCATCCCTTTTCCGACCCCCACCCTTGTCCTTCTTTCCTAGATGGTCATTTATATATTTTGTGTTGCTTTCTATCTTATATTTTCGTAGTGTCGTCTTGTCCTTTCTATTTGTACGTTGTTGTGGTTTATTTCATGTTCATAATGTCTCGTTTGTACCCTTTTGAATTCAGTAATAATAATTATGTTTTTCATGGTGGCCGCATGGTGGCCTGGGCTTTCGTTGGCATCAATCTTTCTTAGTATAGTAGGAAGAAAACAGTTATGTAGGAGGCAAAATTCACCGCACTATCAAGGTATGCGTCAAATTTGATCGCTGATGCAGAAGAAAAGTGCTACAGTTTTGTTTAGGGGTCGATGAATAATCGATATTAGTGGAACGAGCTAGAAGAGTGGAGATCGACTATTAGCTTACTCGGAAGCATAAGGAGATGTACAAGGAGAGTACAAAAGAAAAAAAAAACATGTGGATAAATCAAAGACATCAAACATGAATAAGTCCAATAACAATTCAGGTGGAATTACCAGTGGTACGACGTGGGGATATTTGTGTCAAAAGCAAAAGGCATCATAAGGTAAATGCTTGATGGGCTTCAAAGCGTTACTGGCGTCGTCAACCTGAACATATAACAAGATATTGTTCATCTATCGACCGGAAGATACAAAATTAGGGGGAGCTCCTTCACAAAGGGCTGCAAGTGGGCAGAAATGGATAGTCTTCAGCTCCTACCCAAGGTCAACCAAGACAGCCTGCTCGGCCTCGAATATATTCCCTTGCTCATAGTGAGCCTGAAGAACCTTCTACTGTTGATAGTGATGAGGTCTGATGAGTTTGGCATTTTCTTATATATTAGAGTGTTCTCCTAACATACTTTCTCGCTTTAGTATTGTTATCTAAAGTATAATTGAGTCGTCTTGTATTGGGTCTCTATCCTTACAATGATTACTTTTCATCTCAAGAAAAGACCTCTAGTTTCATGGATAGCAAATGTCGATATGTTTAATGAGAAATGACTTGAGGTATGTTTATAAATTTTGAGGACAAAACTTTTATAAATGGGGAAGATTGTGACGACCCGTTTCAGTTACTAAAGAAGAGGAAACGAGACGATGAAGAAGAAGAATTGAGGAGTCATGAAACCGAATGGGGAGGGAGAGGAAGTAAAGGGGTCGGAAACCAAAAGGATGTTCGTCCTATAAATTTTCAGAGGCAGAAACTTACCAAGGAGTCGAACGACAAGTGCGAGAGTCCAGACACAAATTAGAGCATCATCCTAGCCGGAGATAATGTTGTTGTATGACGATATTTCCGTCGAGCAGGGAAAAGGAAGAGAGGCTACGACGCCGATTGTTCAAATTGCTGTGCTGAGCCGCCACCCGAGGTAGAGGGAGGAAAACGTGCAAGCCAGTTTTCGCATGCAGTGGAAGAATGACCCGACCTGCAATTACGCAGATATTTATACTCCAAAAGATTGTCAAAAACTTGACACAAATTATATTTAGTACCTAGTGTGAATAAATAAAATGATTTAGAAAAGAAATAATAAGTCTTCACACTAGAGGTACTACGCAAGTATACGTATCGTTTCAAGTAATATAGTATTTTCTTTAAAAACCCCAGTATCGAACCCATAAGGAAGCTGTAACTTTAATAATGACTTAGAAAAACTTCTATCTAGATTGCAGATAAAAATGATAGAAGAATGGTGTCGAAATATTTGTAAATGATTAAAACTAAATTTATGTGCAATCTAAATTTAAGCAGAAAGTAAGAACAA